TGGCAAGCTGCTTGCCCACACACCATGTTCCTTTGCAGCTGCTTCTCTGACTCTGTGGATGCTAGTGGCCTGCCGCCCTTGTCCTTCTGCATGCAGGCATCACCCCACGGCAAGACTGTCAGTGAGAGTGAGTTGAGTACCAGTGCCACAGAGCTGCTACAGGACTACATGCAGACGGTAGGCCATACCTGTAAGGGAGTGCCTGAGAGGGGCCAGGCTTTCTTCCCTCGTAGAGCATAGGCATGTGAGTGGGCACTTGTGTACACTTGCCTCATCATTTTTGCTGACATTGCTGCCTTTTCCCAGGGACAGTATGGGACCCTGTGTTGGTGGGTCTGAGCCATAAGGACTGGACCATGCTGGTACCAAGTCCTGAGAGGAAATAGTGGCTCCTACAGGGCTTGGGGCTAGATGCTTTCCCTCTACATCTCTCATAGTTTTGTCACTAAAACCTCAAGACTTCCTCATTGCATGCATTTGTGCCCTGAGGGCATCAGCCCTGACCCTGACAGGTGCCAGCTTCCTTTCCTACCCTGTTGATTTTTTAAAAAAATATTTATTTTCCAATACCTTTATTTTATTTATTTTTATGTGATGCTAAGGATCGAACCCATGGCCTCGCACGTGCTAGGTGAGCGCTCTACTGCTGAGCCACAACCCCAGCCCTTCCCTGTTGATTTGTTTCATTGATGCTCTATGAAGAACTGGCACTGCCCTCCCTCCTTGCCCCAATGAGGGTACTCAGGTTCAGGAAAGTGGAGCTGCCAGGGCACCTCATTTTTCCTCTGGAGGCTACCATGCCTGGGATGATGGGATAGGGATTCACTGTGGGCATTCTGACCCCACAGGGAGTGAAGATGTTAACCTAGACGTGACTGGTCCTCAGCATGGGCCTGGCCCCCAGGTTCCCAGCCCTGTTTGCTGCAGGTGATCCACCCAAGTCCATGGCTGTGACAGGGTGAGGGCCCAGCTGCCATGCCCTCCTACCCACCCATATCTGTTCTCACACCTGTTCTTCTCTGTTCCTACAGCTGCGCACTAAGCTGTCGTCGCAGGAGATCCAGCAATTTGCTGCGCTGCTGCATGAGTACCGCAATGGGGCCTCCATTCATGAGTTTTGTATTAGCCTACGGCAGCTCTATGGAGACAGTCGCAAGTTCCTGCTGCTTGGTGAGTGGGGAGCCCCAGAGGGCGTCTGGTTCCCTCTGGAAATGTATACCTATACCTTGAAGTAAAGGTGCAGGTTCCATTAACAATGACGGTTGGCAGAAGAGCACCCTGAGGTCTCAGGATCTGCCACAATTAGTTGGAAGATCTCTTTCTAGAGCTTTCTGGGGGCCCACCCACAGCTCTCCATCTCCTGAGAACCCTGAGCTGAGCTGAGCTGAGCTGAGTGGGCCCTTCCAGGAAGCAGGAGAGGTTGCCCTGGGACTGGGACTAGTACTGAATAGAATTCTACAGTTCAAGAGAGGAGTCAGGGTTGTTCTTCAAGGAGGTGACACTTGAGTAATTGATGGGTATGTGGGAGTTTGCCAAGTAAAGAGGTGAAGATGCCATCCCAGGTGAAGATCACCCTTTTACAAGACTCTGAAGAGTTCAGCATGTTAGATTTGAGTGACTGGCAGGCTTGGTAGTCAGACCTACCTTGGATACCTGAGACGCAGACCTTGAGGGATCAATGATTCAGCTGTGGTTTTCCCTCTGCCAACACTCTGAACACAGTCAGTGGTTGCTTGTTAAGGGCTACTAAGTCCTGGACCTGTGCTCCCAGTAAACTAAAGAGGTAGATTTATTTCCCTTTCTAACAGCCTGGCCGACATTGGCTGTCCCCCCAGGGCTCCCTGCTTATGGGAGACTGGGCCCGCTGGAATCTAGTCTGAGCTCCTGCTTCCTGCTGAGGCCTCCCTGGGTCAGTTCCCCAGCAGGGCTCAGATGGGCCCATGTGTAACTCAGGATGTTCCTTTAGAGGCTGCCCTTAGGTAGGCACCTCTTTTCAAATGGATTAGGAGCTGAGCCATGGTGGCATGCTGCTTGGAGCCCACTGGGAGGGCAATTTCCCATCCTCCAGGCCTCCCCTCTGCCACCTCACTTGCCTTCTTTGGGAAGCCTTAATTATAGGGACTTCACAGCACAGTAGTTAGAGCTCTAGGAGCTCCAGCTCTGGAAGGTGGGGGTGGCAGCTGTCTGTATGACAAGCTGGTGCAGCAGCACCTTACCCCTGTGTGTGTGGGACTCTTGTCCTCTCTGGATGGGCCCAGCCTGCTCAAAACAGAGGAGTTCAGGGGATTCTTGATTAGGAAGACAGACTGCTGAGTTGGGGCAGTCACCTTGGGCTGGGCCTTTGGCTTTAACATCATGGTTTTGGCCTCTGTTGCCAGTGCCAGCAGAGCAGAAGACTGACTACTCTGGGTTTCATTTTCTTACTTGTGAAATAGGGGCTCTGAGGACCCATAGAGAATGAGAGGAGGTCGTGGGCCCCTGGCCTGTGCTGTTCCTCAAGGCCAGGGAGGGCAGATGTGACAGATGGCAAGTTTCTACAGCTGGGGTGCTTTTCAGAAGTGGGATTTTAGCCAAACCATCTGGATCCAGGGAACGGTTTGTGTGGTATCAGGGTCCTCGGGCCATGGACGAGGGGCAGCTGTGTTCCTGTTTGGACCCTGAGCCTTACTGTGGGTATGGTGTTGGGGTTATGTGTTGGCAGGTCTGAGGCCCTTCATCCCAGAGAAGGACAGCCAGCACTTCGAGAACTTCCTAGAGACCATTGGTGTGAAAGACGGCCGTGGCATCATCACTGACAGCTTTGGCAGGCACCGGCGGGCCCTGAGCACCACATCCACCTCTACCACCAATGGGAACAGGGCCACAGGCAGTCCCGATGACCGGTCAGCACCCTCAGAGGGGGATGAATGGGACCGCATGATCTCAGACATCAGTAGTGACATCGAGGCGTTGGGCTGCAGCATGGACCAGGATTCAGTGTGATGGGCAGTGGAGCACCCATCCCTACCATCCCAGGCCTCCCCAGGAGTTGACCTGAGTATTAGCCCTTCCTGCTGGCTAGGAGCTGGGGAGCGGCTGCAGGCACAGGTGGCCCTGGGCGGCCAGGTCCTCTACTGTGAAAGAGCACAGAGCTGCCGCAGGACATGCCCTGATCCAGGGCGGAAGGCTCTGTGCCTCATCCTCTGGGGCTCAGCCATACCCTGCACCTCCTGCTCTGGGAGGGCCAGGCCAAGCTGGCAAGGAGAGCCAGTCCTGATAGCCTGGCCCTGGACAGCTGTCAATTTTGCACATGATGTTCCTGTTGTTAACTCTCAGAGACCTTAAAAATGTTTACTGCAATGTGAATAATTTAATCTCTGGTTACCAAACATGTTTCTGATCCAGTTGGGTGAAAACCATGTTGCTAGGAGGGGGGTCCATTCTGGCCTCTGTCCCTTTGCCCACGTCTGCCCATAATACCCAGAGATGGGCACAGTGGTGTCAGGGCTGGGGCAGTGGAGGCAGCAGGCACTTGTGATTTGGGTTTTGCTTTGTGGGTGTGAGGCCAGAAGATCTACTGGGTTCTCTTATGGGTGTCAGGGGCAGTGACCATGGGCAGCAGAAGCAATGTGCATTGTATGATCAGCAAAGGTGCTTTGATCTTTTCATCACTCGCATAGATTCCTCAAGGAACTGACTTCTCTGGCTGCTTGCCCTGGCACCTTGCTGATCAGAAGTGCTATCTGGGAGTGCTGGGAGCTTCAGATAAGCTATCACGGGCCCTTTACGCACCTACCCTCTCCATGTTCATCATGTCCATCCCCAGTGTGATCTTCTCCCAGTTTGTATTGGCATTAGTCTGACCTCTGCCCTTTACGCCACTTCAAACCTTCCTTAGAATCCAGGGAGGGGAGAGAGGTGACGTGAAGTCAGGTTGTTCTGGGTCTCTCCCTCCATCAAAGCCTCGATTCTGCTGAGAACCCTCAGGACACATCCAGAAAGTTCCTGGGATGAGGAGGTGTGATATTTCCCCACTGCCCACTGTAGGGAGTGGTGTGCCCTGCTGGGCAGAAGGGTTGCATATCAGGCCTCTGAGGTATCCATAAATGGAGCTCCATGGATATCCCACTTGTGTCCAGGCCTAGCCAGAGAGTCTGGAGGGTCTTATAGGTGCCTTCCGGAGTAAGGCAGACAGGTCCATGTGGTATTGTCTCTTCAGGAGAGAACAACCCTGGATAGTGTTTTATAGGGAGAATTTTCCCTCTACCATGGCTGTTCCAGAGCTGGTCATGGGACCACAGTCCAGGCTGGGAAAACCAGAGGGTATTGGAGCTGTCTCTAGCTTTGAATGCAAATAATCCTGCTCTGGAATAATGAGGGGAGGCTGAAAACGCAGACTTTGTCCTCTACCTCCTATCTGCCTTCCACAGCCCACCCTGTGCCCCAGTGAGTGTCAGTGTCCCCCATGTACACATAGAGCATGGCCTTGCAGAGTCTTTGATGTGGAGTCACAAGAACCACATGCTTGCCTCTCCAGGGCACACATTCCAGAAATGGCCAACACTGAGTCACTGATCTCTTAGCAGAGAATGGAGAATGTGGAGCAGATGGCCACTCTTACCCCTAGCTGGATCTGAGGGAATGCCAAAGGACAGTGAGGGGACATGAGAGTGATGAAAGGATGCTGAGGGACATTTAGGTGATGCCAGAGAGCATTGGGGGTTACCAGAGGGTATTGATGGAATGCCAGAGGGTATTGAGACTACACCAGAGAACACTGAGGAGGTCCCAGATGGCAGTTAGGTGATGCCAGGGTTTGAGAGGATTTCAGAGGGCAGTAGGGGCACTGAGAGGATTCCATAATGATAGGACACCAGAGGGTCTTCTGAGGACACTAAAGGACAGTGAGGTGGCATGGTGGTGAGGTGACATCAAAGGATGATGAGATGGCAGGGCAATGTGGGGACTTCAGAGGATATTGAGAAGTTGCCAGAGGGTATTGAGGGGACACCAGAGGGTGATGATGGGACACCAATTTATTGGACAGCAGAGCTGGGGGATGGGGCAGGATGTACCCAGCTTCTGGTCAGCAGCTACATTGTCAGTTCCTGTGGAAAAATGTGGAAGGAGAGGGTCATGATGTAGAGCCAAATCAGGACCTCACCCGAGGCCTCCAGGGACAGCTGGGAGGTGGGGGTGGGGCCAATGCTTACTCACCATGATGGCATTGACGATGTCACTGTGGTTGTCCCTTAGGGCCCGCACAGCCTTGGCCCTGGACACATTGGCCTGGGCCATCACCAGCTCAATGTCACGTAGCTCTAAGCCTGCCTCGTCCACCTGGTGGGGTGAAGTAGGGAGATGATAAGCTGCTTGAGGCCTCTGGGCCAGGGCTCTCCTGACACAAGGCCTTAGGCAGAAGCCCTCCACACAGAGTCTTGGAGCCCTTTAGCCTCACCTCCTCCTCGTCCTCCTCTTCTTCCTCTTCCTCACACTCTGGCCTCACCCGGGGTCCAGGTGCCGACTCAGGGACCAGGGCTGAGGACTCCGAGGGCACCTTGAACTTCTCTGCTGCAGCTTTGTGCACTTGCTGGGATAGGTCCTCAATCTGTAGCATGGAACAGCTGTGTCAGTAGGGCCTGCACACTCCCTGTCTATCTGCCTCATCCCTGTTTCCCTGGTCATCACCACTGCCACAGCCACAGCTAGGACAAACCTTGGCCTCGCCAAAGACCACATAGGTGTCTGAGGCGGGGCTCTTGAAGACATCAGGCTTGGCGATGACAAAGAGGATGTTCTTGGACTTCTGGATAGTGATCCTGGTGACTCCCTGAATCTGCCGCAAGCCCAGTTTCGACATTGCCTGAGGCAGAGGGTAAAGATGGTTCAGACCTGCTATAGGCCCAACCAGAAAAGGCAGGTAGCACAGTGCCTGGCAGGCAAACACCTCACCCCAACTTCCCCATGACCCTGAGTGACCAGTCCTTCCCTGTGTGTACTAGCCTCTGGAGGAGGCTGACCTTCATCCATATGACCACCATGCCATTCCAGCCCAAACTCTTTAGGGGAAGGTGCATGGGTTATTAGATTTGACCCACAGGTCTTTCCTATGGATACTATTTCATTAGTTATGGGGTATGACCCATCTTGGTAAAGATGTCCCCCTGTGCAGATGGTGCTAGTACTGGGGTCAGAAGGGGAGCTCCCAGCCTACTTTTCGAGCCTTCTTTTCACTGCGACTCTGCTTGGCTTTGGCGATGGTCTCCTCACTGCTGCCTGTTGGGGCCTGTGGAAAGGTGAGGGCTGAGCACCTGTGGGTGGGAGTGTAGGGCCCACCTAAGGGCCAACCTCTCCCCCAGACTGGGCACCTGGGATGGGCACTGCACCATCTGAGGCGCTGAGATGTCCTGCTCGTCCAACTCTGCTGACGACTCCCCGTGACTATCCGAGTGCTGGCCTGAGCCCAGGGCCCGAGGTGAGTCTGGGGAAGGGAAGAGAGGTGTGAGAATGACTCCCCTAGATGGGCCCCTGGCCCTACTTCATCATGAATTGGAGCTGGGGGTCTGGACATATCATCACACCACTGCAGAGGTCCTCTAGCCTAGGACGGCAGTGCTTACCCTGGAGAGGACTAACTGCCCAAGCCTGGGGCTCCCACCCCTACATTCCCCCTCACCTTCTTCCAGGCTGTCCTCGTCCTCTTGCTGTTCTAGGGCTGGGAGTCCTTGAGGGCTCAATGGGCTCTGGGTCCCAGAGGGAGGAGGCACTTGGCTGGGTGGCAAGATCTGAGAGGCCAGGTCTTTGGCCAGATCTTTGGCATCCGTGGGGGCCGCCTTGGGGATGAGGAGTGGGTGGTGGCTGGAGAGGCTGATCTGCTGCCCTGTCCCCAGAGGCTGGGTGTTTCCTGAGGCAGCAGCAGCAGCAGTGGCCCCCTGGGCTACTGCCCGAGACATGTGAAGGCCCCGAGAGGTTGGTGGCTCCTCACCCTCCACAGAGTCTTCCTGCAGGTTCTGGCACAAGCGAGAGTTAGGGGGTCCCAGGGCCAGTGGGGCTTCCCCAGCAAGAACACCAGGATCAGAGGGGTCAGGGTCTGAGAGCCTGTCTTGAGGTGTACTAGGCCGGCCCCTGGCAGGGTTTTCTGGGAGTTGTAGTGGGGAGGATTTGAGCATACCAGGTGCTCTCTGGGGCTGCTTTCCATTGCCTAGGCCTAGCGAAGGCTCCAACCACTGGGAAGGTGATACAGAAGGGGTAAGCTCTTTAGGGAAGTCCCTGACCAGCCTGGATGCAGCCTTTGCTGGGGACTTTGGGCCTGAACTTAGCCTGGCCTCTTTGGCCACAGCTAAGGGAAGTCTGGGTTCCAGGGTGGCCTTGCTGCTTAGACCCCTTCCTTTCTTGGCTGGGCTCAGGGTCTGTGCCTGTGTGACCTCCGGGCAGGCAGTAGGACATGCCTTGGGAGCCTCTCTCACACCTTGGGGCACTGATGCAGGCCCACCTTCCTGTGCTGGTGGCTTGGGGCCTACACCCCTCTTGCTCTTAGCCCCCAGGGCCTCCTTTGGAGGCGAATAGGTCTTGGCCCCATCACCCACGTACACACAGGCTTCAAGACATATTTCCCCCTCAGGTGCCGAAAGGTCCACAGCTACTTCTTTTCCAGTGCCAGAGGCAGGTTCAGGGGGACCAGGGGCCTCCATGCCTAAGGTGGGACCTGCCTCTTCCCTTGGGGCCCAAGGAGTTCCAGTCTTTGCAGTTGGTTCTGGGCCATCCTTTTGGGTCTGGTTCAAGGCTGAAGGCTCTGGGTCTCCATCAGGGCCTGCATCATGCTCCCCAGGCTCTGGCCTTAGTTCTAAGGCCAGACCTAATTCCTGCTGGGTCACAGAAGCCATGAGCTTATTCCCTGGGGCCCCATGGGTGTCTCCAGCCATGGGCTCCGAGGCTAAGGTGAGTCCTGCATCTTGCAAGGGTGGAAGTGCTCTCTCAGGGGAGCTCTGTGGTATGGTGATACTCTCTTCAGCTTGTTGGGGCTCTGGTTTGGCCCCAGCCATAAGCTCCAGACCTGAGGTGGGATCTGCATCTTGCCCAGGTGGAAGTGCTGCCTCAGGGGAGTCTTGGGGTATGGTGACATTCTCTTCAGCCTGCTGAGGCCCTGGTGTGGCTGCAGCCTCGAGCTCTAGGCTTGAGGTGGGATCTGCATCTTGCAGGGGTGGAAATTTTGTCTCAGGGGAGTCCTGGAGTATGGTGACACTCTCTTCAGCCTGCTGGGGCCCTGGTGTGGCTGTAGCCACAGGCTCTAGGCCTGAGGTGGGATCTGCATCTTGCAGGGGTGGAAGTGCTGTCTCAAGGGAGTCCTGGGATATGGTGACACACTCTTCAGCCTGCTCGGGCTCTGTTATGGCCCCAGCCACAAACTCCAGGCCTGAGGTGGGACCTGCATCTTGCAGGGGTGGAAGTTCTGTCTCAGGGGAGTCCTGGGGTATGGTGACACTCTTTTCAGCCTGCTGGGGCCCTGGTGTGGCTATAGCCACAGGCTCTAGGCCTGAGGTGGGATCTGCATCTTGCAGGGGTGGAAGTTCTGTCTCAGGCGAGTCCTGGAATATGGTGATACTCTCTTCAGCCTGCTGGGGCCCTGGTGTAGCTATAGCCACAGGCTCTAGGCCTGAGGTGGGACCTGCATCTTGCAGGGGTGGAAGTTCTGTCTCAGGGGAGTCCTGGAGTATGGTGACACACTCTTCAGCCTGCTGGGGCCCTGGTGTGGCTATAGCCACAGGCTCTAGGCCTGAGGTGGGATCTGCATCTTGCAGGGGTGGAAGTTCTGTCTCAGGAGAGTCCTGGGATATGGTAACATTCTCTTCAGCCTGCTGAAGCCCTGGTGTGACTTCAGCCAGAGGTTCTAGGCCTGAGGTGGGATCTGCATCTTGCAGGGGTGGAAGTTCTGTCTCATGGGAGTCCTGGAGTATGGTGACACACTCTTCAGCCTGCTGAAGCCCTTGTGTGGCTTCAGCCAGAGGTTCTAGGCCTGAGGTGGGATCTGTATCTTGCAGGGGTGGAAATGCTGTCTCAGGGGAGTCCTGGGGTACGGTGACACTCTCTTCAACCTGCTGGGGCTCTATTGTGGCCCCAGCCACAGACTCCAGTCCTGAGGTGGGACCTGCATGTTGCAGGGATGGAAGTTCTGTCTCAGGGGAGTCCTGGAGTATGGTGACACACTCTTCAGCCTGCTGAAGCCCTTGTGTGGCTTCAGCCAGAGGTTCTAGGCCCAAGGTGGGATCTGTATCTTGCAGGGGTGGAAATGCTGTCTCAGGGGAGTCCTGGGGTACGGTGACACTCTCTTCAACCTGCTGGGGCTCTATTATGGCCCCAGCCACAGACTCCAGTCCTGAGGTGGGACCTGCATGTTGCAGGGGTGGAAGTTCTGTCTCAGGGGAGTCCTGGAGTATGGTGACACACTCTTCAGCCTGCTGAAGCCCTGGTGTGGCTTCAGTCAGAGGTTCTAGGCCCAAGGTGGGATCTGTATCTTGCAGGGGTGGAAATGCTGTCTCAGTGGAGTCCTGGGGTACAGTGACACTCTCTTCAGCCTGCTGGGGCCCTGGTGTGGTTGCAGCCACAGGCTCTAGGCCCGAGGTGGGACCTGCATCTTGCAGGGGTGGAAGTTCTGTCTCAGGGGAGTCCTGGGGTATGGTGACACACTCTTCAGTCTGTTGGGGCTCTGTTATGGCCCCAGCCACAGATTCCAGGCCTGAGGTGGCATCTGCATCTTGCCCAGGTGGAAGTTCTGTCTCAGTGTAGTTCTGGGGTACGGTGACACACTCTTCAGCCTGTTGGGGCTCTATTATGGCCCCAGCCACAGATTCCAGGCCTAAGGTGGTATCCGCATGTTGCAGGGGTGGAAGTTCTGTTTCAGGGGAGTCCTGGGGTATAGTGATACTCTCTTCAGCCTGCTGAGGCCCTGGTGTGGCTGCCGCTATAGGCTCTAGGCCCAAGGTAGGATCTGCATCTTGCAGTGGTGGAAGTTCTGTCTCAGGGGGGTCCTGGGGTATGGTGACCCTCCCTTCAGCCTGCTGGGGCTCTGTTATGGCCCCAGCCACGGTCTCTAAGCCCCATGTGGAATCTGCATCTTGCAGGGGTGGAGGCATTTGGGGTACGGTGACAATCTCTTCAGGCTGCTGGGGCTCTGGTGTGGCCCCAGCCATAGGCTCTAGGCCTAAAGTGGGATCTGCTTCCTGAAGGGGTGAAAGTGCTGCCTCAGGAGAGTCCTCGAGTAGAATGCCACCCCCTTCAGCCTGCTGGAGCCCCTGTGTGGCTGCAACTACAGTCTCCAGGCCTGAGGGGAGACCTCGGTCCTCTTCCTTTGAGTTCTCAGGAGGCTCTGTGTACAAGGTGGGACTTGCTGCTTCTTGAAGAACTGGTTGTGGTTCTACAATGATGGGCTCCTGACCTAAGGTAGCACTCATCACCTCCTTGGAAAGCTGAAGCAGTGCCCTAGTGGCAGGTGCTTGTCCAGTGGTAGAGTCAGCTTCTTCTTCACCAACCTGAGGGGGCACCCTGGAAGCCGCCTCCATCTGAAGGCCTAGGGCTGCCTGCAGAGCATGAGGGGTCACAGTAGTTTCAGACTCTTGGCTTAAAGCAAGGCCTTCTTCCATTTCTGAAGTTGATTCCTGGCTGTGGGCGAGATGAGCCTCTCCCTCTGAGACCTGAGGGTTGGTTACTGTTCTGATGGCCTCTGGGCTCCAGAAAGCAGTCCCCCTTCTATGCTCCTGCTCTGTCTTCTGGGCACTGTCCTGCAGCAGGGCACTGGGCTGGGCATGGGGTTCCCCACTATACAGCCTATCATCATCTGCCCCTGCATAGGAGGCTGAGTCCGAGTCAGAGGAGGCTGCAGAGGTGTCATCCCGGAAGGCAAAGGCCTCATCCATGCCCTCAATGATGGACAGGTCAGATAGTGACTGCAGGAAGGAGGCAGATGTGCTATCCTCCTCACCCTCTCCGGCCAGGTCCCCATCTGGAGCAGGAACATTAGCTGCCACCTCCTCCTCTTCTGGGGGCAGTGGTGTCACCTCCACTGCCTCCACCTGGAAGATGAGGCTGCCCTGAAAGGGCAGGAGGGCTGCAGGGATCATTGGGTCATTGGCTAGGAAGTCCAGGTCGAAGAAGTGGCCCTCCTGGTCCCAGGAAGAGCTACTGTCTGCTGAAAGACTAGACTCAGAAGATAGGGATTCGGGAGGCACAGTGGGATGGGGCTCTTGTTCATCTGCTACAGACCCCTGTGGGGAGAGGCCCCAGTCTGAGGGGAAGTCCAGCCCTTCAGCTGGGGCCAGCAGGCTGAGGGAACAGGATGGTGATGAGGTCCAGCTGTCCCCATCTGCCGTGATGTATGAGCCTGAGGGCGAGGCAGGTGGAGAGTCCAACAGCTCATCCTCTGGGTCCCAGGTGTCCCTATGGGGCCCATGGCTGGGAAGCAGGATGTAGGTTGTCTTGGTGGGAGTGGAGGGAGGGGTGAAGTAGGAATCAGGGTCTGGGGGAGGGGAAGGCACAGGAGGATCACCCTGAGAATACAGCTCGGAAGGTGGGTACAGGTCGGTGAGCCCACCCTCCTGATCCCTGAGCACTGGTAGGCCTGCCCTGGGTGACTGGGGTGCCTGGCATGTCTCCTCGCCCATCACAATCCGGGGCTCCAGGGTGGCAGGGAGAGGGCCCTTAGTGAGCAGAGCCTCAGGGGGCTGACCCTCATCAGGCAAAGCCTGTGGGAGGGGGCCCTCGGAGAGGAGTGTTGGGTTTGGGCTGCCTTCCGCTGGGTCTGCCCAGGCTGAAGGGGCCCCACCAGGCACTGCATCCCAGCTGGCTCCCTCAGGCTGGGGCCGGGCACCTGGCTTGCTGGGCAGGAACGTGAGGGTCAGGGAGCTGGGCTCTGGGATCAGGGCATGGGGCTCCCGCCGGTCCTCTCTCAGGATGGTGGCAGCAGCTGCATCACAAGAGAGCTCTGTGGAGACAGAGAAGAACGTGAAGCACCCAGACACATCTCCAGACCAAGTGAGGTGAAGAGCTGAGCATGGGACGGGAAACAGATGTCCATTGAAAGAGGCCCAGTGGAGAGCTGGTTGGGGAAGACAGGAGGGAGAAGAGAATGGTGGTGTGGGTTGCATTTAAGGGAAAATTTCCAGGGGTTTTGACAGAGAACAGAACTGCTGACAGTAGCTTTGCAGAATGGGGGCTTGCAGGCAGTGTTGCTGTGTGTGTTATAAACTCATGATTTTCTTGGGGACACTTTAGCAAAGATGCAACTAGCATTTCCATCTTTTTTTTTTTTTTTTTTTTTTTTGAGACTAGATTGCTGATTCCTTTCTAGTTAATCAGTATGATTTAGCTGGGCTTAGCTGGAGTGGATAGCAATCAGAATCTGCTGGACAGTGCCTTCCCATGGCAGGAGCGTGGGCCCTCCCACACTGCACAGCTCTGGAACATTACAGGTCTCACATATGCCTACTGTAAAATACGGGCTTTGCCTCTTTGGCCCATCTCTCTCCTATATTGCTGCCAACACTTGAGATCAACCTGTCCCCTCAGGGCCCTGTGCCTGGGCTGCTCCCTGTGGCATATGGGAGGAGGGAAACCAGGGGCTCTGAATGCAGTCAAGTTTCTGAAGAATGGAGACAGGTGTTTACCACAGAAATTGAATTGGAGCATCCATCTAGAAAGGCAGTGGTGGGAAATAATGGTGATCATGCAACTCAGTGGGAGCAGGACAGCTACAGGAGGGCTAATGGAGCCCCTGGTCCAGTGCTCCCCAGAGTAGCAGCCATTCCATGATGAGTGCCAAATTCTCCCTTGGGACTGGGAGCTAGGTCCTGCCCTGTAGCCCTTCTCTGGGTCCCAAGGAGCCCCCATGAGGAGGCTACAGGTGCTCAGGAAACCTCCATGGGCTGACACACCTCCAGCTGAAAAGTCCCTTCACATATACACCATGAAGTAACATGGATCAGAAAGCACTTAGGGCACTCAGCAAAGTGAAAGAACACCCCTGGCAAGACTTACCACAACACTCTGCTGGTTTGCTACCTCCTGGTCTCTTGCTGACTGGCATTTTATCATCACTGAGGTCACTCTGCATATGCACTTCTGAATCTTGCGGTTTTCACCAGATATTATCTCATAAGCATTTTTCCCATGTGTGCCAAGTGCTCATAAGCCTCATTTTTTAATGGCCTTGTAACATTCCCTTTTTCACCTCCACCAAAGCCAAAGATGCTTCTATTTGAAGCATCTGCTGAAGGCCCTCCTAGTCCCCCACCCCAGTCCAGGCCAGGTCCTGCTCAAGAGGGGGAGGGGCTGCTTATAGAGGCTGGGCTCCAAGGCTGATGCTTGCCGAGGGATGACTGCTCTACCATGCTCACTGGTGACAGGACAACACTGCCTGCACCTCGGCTTTCTCTCCTACAAAGTGGAGATCAAATAGGATTAGTGGTGAAGTCTAAGAAGGTGCAGCTGCTTTGCCAGGCTGCCGGATTTGCCCTCAGCAGCCTCAGGGCATTGAGAGCTCATCAACTGAGGGCTGAGCTGCTGGATAAGCCAGGGGGTCCTGAGAGAACAGGGAGCTCCTTCAGGTCCCTTGTGGCACACCTGATATCCAACAGTGGGAGTGGGTGTGGCTGGTGGGCATAATTGGGTGCTCTAAAACTGCACTGCACTGACCCCCTGATATGCCTCCAGGGTAGGAGAAGGGCTGAATTGGCCAAGGTTAGAATGGAAGGAAAAGAAAAGGCCAAAGTTTTTTGTGACTCATTCAAGGTCACCAAACAAGCCAGAACAGAGCCAGCACATGATCCTGTTTCTGTGGAGTCTCATCCTGGACTGCCTGTTTCCCAAGAGCAGAGGTGATAACTGTGTCACCTCATAGCCATGCCATTGACCCTACACTGTCGACAGCCCAGGTGACTTCTTGTTCACAGCAAGGTGCCCTTGGCCCTGCCCAAGCCACACATGGCCAACCTCCCAGCAGAAACCATCCAGGCTCTGACTGCCCAGGCCAAGTGGACCGACCTATAGTCTAAACCAACATTTGTTGACCCAGCCTTTCCAGGGATCCGGTGGTCTGCACAATGGGGCGTTGCTGGTGAGGCCACCTCCCCAGGGCCTCCCACCTTCCAGACCCAGATCTGCTGTTTCTCCCCCAAGTTGCTCTCCCTCTGGCCTTCCTATATCTCCAGCCAGTTCTGCTCCTCTCTCCTGTGCCTGGCCAGTCCCCAGCCCTTGGAAGCCCAGGCTGCAGTTGAGGACTGTCTGGGTGGGCGCCGGATCAGCCTGCAGGGACCCCATAGGCCTCCCGCCTCCGAACCCGAACCCGTAGCCTTCAGACCTGGAGGCTGGTAGCTCTGCACGGACAATGGGACGCCAGCGGGGCGCGGCTGCCAGAACAGGCGGGAGGAGCCCAAAGACCCCAGGGTCAGAGGCCAAGGGCGCTTCTGGCTCGCAGGAGCACTCCCTGAGTCCCATCCCGCTCTTGCCCTAAGTCCTGAGTTGGGGGCAGGGTTCGAGTGTAGGGAAGGGCAGAGCTTGGAAATGACTAGGACTGGCCGGCGAGCGAGGCAGAGGGACGAAGGAGGGAATAGGCCGGATAGAGAATTGGGCCTGAGAGGAGAGGGGCCGCGGTCTCACCTGTGCGGGGCCCAGGCCCACTAGCCTCAGGCAGCGGTAACTCGGCGCAGGCAGCCTCCCCGGGCATGGCCTCGACGTGCGCCCGCCTGTCCCTCTGTCCCTCGGTCCGTCTGTCCGTACAGTCGCCCGGCGTAGCCTGAGCGGCCACCGCCCCTCAGCTGGCGGGGAGGGGGAGCGGAGTGTGGATGACGTCAGCGCAGCCCCGCCCGCCCAGCGGCCTGAGTGAGCGTGCGCGGGCGAGCCAGGCACTGCGGAGCGCGATGTCGCGGGTGGGGGGTGCTCCCTCCCTACCCAACCGGTTGAGGTCTTCCTCCTGTGGTGTACGAATCCGAGCAGGCGTGGGGCGCCTGCGCCCCGCCCAGCCTTTCCCGCAGCATCCCCCTCCCTTTACCAGGGAGGGATTCGAAGACATTCGGGGTCTGGACACCTCCCCGGTGGCATCACCCCTTAGCTGGGAATAGGCGGAGGCGTCTCTAGAACCAAGGTTTCAGGGTCCGGGGAGGAGCCTCAGGGAGATACTGTCAGAGACAGCCCACCCTTCTCTGACTAGGCGAAGGGCACAGGAGGCCCGGAGTGGGGAGGGAACCCCGCCCAGCTTGATGCCTGCATCCAAAAGATGAGTTGGAGCCGCAGCTTTGGAGTGATTGGTTGGTCCTTGCAGTCGTCGGTCTCCATGGCAACCGCCTCCAGTCTCTGTGGCAACCAGAGATGGAGCTTAAGAGAGCGCAGCGGGGAAGGTGGATCCAGACGAGCTCCTGGGCCAAGCTGGGTCTCTGGGTTTCCTGGCAGCGTGATGATCTGCTCCCACCCCTTCACCCCTCAGTTCTCTAGGCATGGGGAGGAAAAGAAAAGAAAAACTCCTCCTTCCATTCCTGGCAGCTGCCCCTGCCACACCTCCAAGGATGAAGCCCGCCCCGCCCCTTGGTTTTTCTGAAATGCGCGATTGCTTCCACTCAGGCCGCTGCACCGCCTAGATTCACCACCCCACTTCCCCGCACGGTGCCAGGCACTGAGAGACCGATGAATGACACATTGTCATTTCTGAACTGGGGTAGAAAAAAATCAAGAGCAGCCATTGTGGCAAGCAGGGAGGGAGCCTCCAACTTCCTCATTCTTCTGATTCTATCACAAAGCTCAGGAAGTCAGGTCTATCCCCGACTCCTCAGAACCTGCCTCAAGGCCCAGCGTTGCACATCTACCCTGCATTCCTCTTAGTTGCTGTCAGTCCATCCATTTTTCCCGCTGGTGTGCAACTTTCTTCCGCCTTTCCTTTACATCTTTTACGTAAGGACCTTCATTTCCATCTCCTCCTCCTGTGAATGCTCTCCTGTTTTCTTAGCTGAATTCTAAGCTTGCTGCTCTGACACATGCCTATCATGAAAATATCATGGATTCTTAGAAATCAAATTCCCTATAAATGCCCTGGAAAACTATAAATCCAGGGCATAAAAGAGAAAGCCAAAGTAGAATCCTTAAAGATGAAATGAAGGGGAGCGGGTGAGGGATCAGGTGAACAGCATAGCTAGTAGAGCGTCTTCCCAGTAGACGACCTAGGCCTGGCATTTCCTTACCTCAATCTACCAACAGGAGAACCAGGTAGATTTCTTCATTCCCATACAGAGTGAAGGCCTGCTGACACCACCAGCTGAGCATGGCAAGGAGGCATGTTGGAAAACATGCTGCTTTCCTCCCCAACTCTACCCAGAGGCTCCTGGCACAGGGAGAGGGGGTAGGGAACTAGTAAGGGAGATCCCACAACAAAAAGAAACTATCACTAGGTGTGCTGGACATTCCCAGTGATACAAGAGACTGAGGCCAGATGATCACAAGTTCAAGGCCAGCCTCAGAAATTTAGCCAGACCCTGCCTCTATATAAAAACAATACAAAGGGCCAGGGATGTAGCTCAGTGGTAGAGTATCCTTAGTACTGCAAAGACCAAAAACCCAACCTAAACAAACAAAATGGAGCATATACTTGTACCAGTGAACTCAAACTTGAAATCAACTAAGAGAAAGACAACAGGAAGATCCCTAAACACTTGAGAATTCAATAACACACTTCTAAATAATTCATGGGCCAGAGGAATTATTCAAGGAAAAAAAAATTTTTTTGGCATGGAACTAAATGAAAATAAAACCACAAAATATCAAAATATGTGCTATGAAGCCAAAGCAGTGCAGGGAAGAATATTTGCAGCAATTATAAGAGAAGAAATGTCTCATGCCAACAATTTGATTTCCTATATCAAGAAATCAGGAAAAGGGGGGCTAAGGATGTAGCTCAGTGGTAATGCAATTGTCTAGTGTGCACAAGGCCTTGGGTTCAATCTCCAAAACTGCCAAAAAAACCAAACCAAACAAAAAATAGAAAAAAGAAAGTAGGAAAGAAGAGCAAAATAAACCAACACAGCAGAAGGAAGGGAAATAGTAAAATAAAGACAGAAATCAATGAATATAAAACAGGAAGATGATAAAAGGAATCAATGAAATAAAAACATGGTTCTTTGAAAAAATATAAAATTGGTTAAAACTCTTGCAAGACAAACAAAAATAAAGACACAAATGACCAATATCAGGAGTGAAATGGGGCTAGTGCTATGAAACCTACAAACATTTTAAGGATACCAAGGGGAATGCTACAAACAATTTGATGTATATAAATTCAACAATTTGTAAGTAATGAACTGATTATTTGAAAATCACAAATTCCCAAAACTCAAAATAGATGAGATAGGTAGCTAATGTCCCATAACTATCAAATAATTGAATTTGTAATTTCAAATCTCCTCAAAATAAATCAACATGCATAAGTCCCTGGGTTCAAACCCCTGCCCTGAAAAAAAAGGGGGGGGGCATGTAATTGGGTCGGAGGAGCTAGGTTGTTTCCACTAGAAAATTATACCAAAAATTTAAATTGGAATTAAAACCAATTTAAACAATCTCTTTCAGAAAACAGAAGAGGAGGAAACAATTCCTAATTCATTTTTTTAAGGCAAACAATAGCCCAGCATAATTATTCATGCCTATAATCCCAGCTGTTCAGGAGGGTAAGGCAGGAGAATTTTAAGTTCAAAGCCAGCCTGGGCAACTTAGAGAAAACCAGTCCCAACATATACTAAAAAGGGCTGTTTAAAAAAAAAAAAAAAGAGGATGTAGCTCAGGGGTACAGCACCCCTGGGTTCAATCCCAGTACCAAAAACAAACAAGGCAAGCAGTATCCTGACATGTACCCCTCAAAAACTCTAGACCAGAATCTCACAAATTTAGGAACAAAAATTCTCAATGGATTACTAGCAAATCAAATTTAGCAATGAATAAAAAGAATATACACCATGACCAAGTAGAATTTATTCCAGGTATGCAAGGCTGGTTCAACACTTGAAAATCCATCAAGTTAATTCATAACACCAATATGGTAAATGAGAAAAATTGGACATGGGAGTGTAGCTCAATGACAGAATGTTTACCTAGCATGTAGAAGGCCCTGGGATGGAGCCCAGCTAGTGGGGTGGTGGTTACATTCCAGTAGAGACTGCTGCCTCCTTCACTGAGAACTCAGCTCCTAGAGTAGGTGTCATGCAGAAGTTTGCCACTGAGCTTAAAGATTCTCTCTGGGGGAAAAGAAGCAGGTTGTATGACAGCTTCTGATCTCTTCCCAAATGCACTGACTTCACTTGTAACAGAGGATGGGGAATCACTCTCAAGAGCAGCAGAGGTTGTGGTGAAAGACCATTGAAAGGTGATTTGTGGATCCATTGAAAACAGCCTGGACTACAGGATGACAGTTCACTGGAGAAAACTGAGGAATAAGAAAACTGAGTGCCCTGGGGTTAGAGAAAATATCAAACACTGACCTCAGAAATTATCCCATCTAACAAGACAGTGTGGATTAGCTTGTAGAGGAACTTAGGCCTCAGAGGATTGTTGAAAGCATTAAAACAATCAGTGGTGTGTGTCAGTGGCAATTAGTGGAGTTTAATAGCTAGGTGTGGTCAGACAAAAAGGAAGAGAGTCCTACCAGTACTGGTCATCCTAGGGTGACTGTGGGCATACATAAAGCTGCACTCCCCTGAGAAGGAGTATCAGAGACTTAAAGTATGGGGAAGTGGGGATAGAATTAAAAATAATTGGGCAGGCTGGGTAGTGCACGCCTGTAACCCCAGGAGGCTGAGGTAGGAGGATTGCATGTTCAACACCAGCCTCAGCAAAAGCTAGGTGCTAAGCAACTCAGTGAGACCCTGTTTCCAGATAAAATACAAAATAGGGCTGAGGATGTGGCTCAGTGATTGAGTGCTCCTGAGTTCAATCCCCAGTACCTCCCCAAACAAAACAAAACAAAATGGACACAACCTAATAAGTTCATTGGGGTTGCAAGATTCAGGACCAATATGCAAAAATCAATTATACTGTATACCAACTTGCAATGAGAAATCCAAAATTGAAATTAAGAAAACAATTCCATTTGCAACAGCATTATAAAATAACAAATGCATGAGGTCCTGGGTTTGATCCCCAGCAATGCAAAAAACCAAGCCAAAACAAAAAGATAAAAATCATAAAATACTTAGGAATAAATTTAAAAGTAGTTCAAAACGTGTACTCTGGAAACTTTAAAATACTGTTGAAAAATTAAAGACTAGATAAGTGGGAAAACATTCCATGTTCATGAATCAGAAGATTTAACATTGTTAAGATGGTAACAATATCCAAGATCTAAAGATTCAGAACAATCCTTATCAGAATTCCAACTAACTTCTTTGTACAAACTGACAAACTCATTCTAAAGTTCTCATGAATTGCAAGAGACCCAGAAGAGCCAACCAAAATAATCCATGGAGAAAAATTCAAAATATAACTATGAAACAGTAGTAATCAAAAGACAATATACCATTGGCAAGAGGATATATAGATCAACGGAAGAAAACTGACATTCCAGAAATAAACCTATATATCCATGGTCAACTGATTTTTGACAAGGATGCTAAGACCATTTAGCAAGGGAAAGAATAACAACACTTGGTTCTGGGACAACTAAGTAATTTCATCCAAAAAAATGAAGTTGACAATTTATATCATATATAAAATTAACTCAAAATCATAAAGGAACAAAAGATAAGAGTGAAAATTATAAAACTCTTAGAAAAAAAGCACAAGGGTAAGTATTTGTGACTTTGGATTCACTAAGGAATTCTTAAAAATGACAA